GAGAAAGAGTTATTTAATGTCCATGTACTTACGAAGTTCATGTGGTTTCTTTTGTCATTGATTTCCAATTTTTTTGTACTTTGATCTGATAATATATGTGGAATAATTTCAATTCCTTTGCATTTGCTTAAGCATATTATATGAGCTAGTTTGTAATCTATTTTGGAGAGCATCCCGCATTGTTGAGAAGAATATGTATTCTGACATTTGGGTGAAACATTCTGTACACATCTACTAAGACCCTCTTTTTAAAAGTTTGCTTCAACTTTAATAAATCTTTGTTGATTTTTTTTGTTGCTGTCTGTTTGTGATGGTGTGATATTGAGGTGCCTCCCTGTTGCCTCTTCCTCTTGAGTTGTTCTCTTTACAAAGATATAGTAACCCTTTTTGTTCCTCTTAATCAGTGTTGGTATAACATTCACTTTGTTTGCAAATAGAATAGTTGCTCCTGCTTCTTTTCCTGTCCATAATGTATTGTTTTTTCATCTTTCAACTTTCAGTCTATGAATTTGTTTTTTTCTTTTTTAAAAAATTCATTTTATTCAAATATAAAAAGACAGAAAAAAGACAAGAAGGAAAAAAAAACTACAATAAAATTTCAAAGCACTTCAATCAGGGAGTAACAGTGGAACATACATTGCACATTGTCATCCCTAAGTCACACACCCAGAGTACAAGGCACCCACATTCAGTTGTCCAAACAATACCAGTACAAATCTTTCTCATCAGTGAACACAGAAAAATCAGTAGTATAACTATCTTAACTATTTTTATGTACATATACATACACATATACATGTTTTTTCTTTCATTTTGTCACACAATGAAACAATGAGTATGTTGTCAAGGTGCATCCATTTACCTATAAAAGTGTCCAGTTTATCATTTTTATGGCTGAGTAGTACTCCATTGTATAAAAATACCACATCTTTTTTTATCCATCTCTCAATAAATAGGCATTTAGGCTTTTTGGTCTTTTTCATTTTTTTTTTTTTGTCTTTTTCATTTTTATCGGTACCGGGGATCAAACTCACGACCGCCTGCTTGCAAGGCAGGTGCTTATGCCGCTGAGCTAAACCTTGAGCCCCCGGCATTTAGGTTTTTTGCAAGATCTGGCTATTTGAAACTGAGCTGCTATAAACATCATACCCCAGTGGTATATGGGCACACATATATCACTGGGGTATGATGTTTTTAATTCTTTTTTTTTTGATGTTTTTAATTCTTTTGGGAAAATATCCAGAAGGGGAATAGCTGGGTCAAATGGGATCTCTATTCCTAGTTTTTTGAGGAACCTCCATACTGATTTCCACAGTGGTTGCACCAACCTGCATTCTCGCCAACAGTGGAAAAGGGTTCCTTTTTCTCCATAGCCCCTCCAGCATTTGTTATTGGCTGATCTTTTGGATAGTATCCATTCTTTCTGGAGTGAGACGGACTTTCGGCCTTTTTAAAATTGCATTTCTAGAGTGACCAGTGATGTGGAACATTTTTTCACATATTGATTTCCTGTTTATATTTCCTTATCTGAAAAGTGTATTTCTTCATCTCAGATGCCCATTTTTGGATTGAGTCTTTAAGTCTGGGAGGACTGATTTTTTTAAAGTTCTTTATATGTTCTCCGTAATAATCCCTTTGTCTGAGGAACAGCTGGCAAACATTTTCTCCCATGTTGTGGGTTGTCTCTTCACTCTGTTGGTGGTTTCTCTTGCCATGCAAAAGCTTTTCAATAGGGTGAAATACCATTTGTTGATTCTTTGTGATAGTTCCTGTGCAACCTGGGTTTTGTTGTTGAAATCTTTGTCTACACCAATGTGTTCAAGAGTTTTACATACTCTATTGTCCAGCAGATTTGTTTCTGTTTTAATATTAAGTTCTTTGGGGGCTGGTGATTTAGCTCAGCGGCATAAGCGCCTGCCTTATAAGTGTGTGGTCATGAGTTTGATCCCCAGTACCGATAAAAAAAAAATTAAGATCTCTGATCCACTCTGATTTTCATATAATCTCTATCTGCTCTAGGGTCACTAGCCATGTTTTTCATTATGGTCACCATCTCTGTAGATATCCAAAAGATTATTTATGTTTTGATGTTTTCTAGAGCCTTGTTCATCTGATTTGTTATTTCTTTGTTATCTTTTTTTTTTTTATCAGTACCAGGGATCAAACTCATGACCACGCACTTGCAAGACTAACTCCCCAGCCCTGATTTGTTATTTCTGCTGTTACCATTTCAGAGAGTCCATGTGGGTGGCTTTTAAGCTGTTCCCCCTCACTGCTCCCTGGGTTTGTCTTTGATCATAGAAAGTCTGGGATTGCATCTTGTTTAAGAATCTTCTTGTGTTTTATATATATATATATATATATATATATATATATAATTTCCTTGGTTAATGCTTGTAAATTGCTGATGGCAGGGAGCTTTCTTTCTTTTTCTCTTTCCTTTTTTTTATGAGACAAAGGCTCACTGTGTAGTCCAGGCTGACCTCAAACTCAAAACCATCTTCTTGCCTCATCCTCCTGAGTGTTGGGATTACAGAAGTGCACAAACACACCCAGCTTATTGCTAGTGTTTAGAACCTTTAGGAAATGACTACTTCCCAGAGATGTTTTCCAGGTATAGCTGTGTTTTGGCTTTTGAGTCTGTTGCAGTATTCTATCTCTTCAATTTATTGGGGATGAGAAGTTGCTGCTTATTTAACCTAGCCCTTGCTTGTTTGGCACTGGCCTATTGTATTTTTTTATGACCCTTAGGCAATCTCAGTCTTGGCCCTGCAGGAAGAGAAACTGCCGAGCACAATTAGGTCACCTTGGCTAAAATAATACAATTGACCATAACAATAGCATCAAACACCGCCTAGAAAATGACAAACTATGGTGATTTTTTTTCTACCAGGGATTGAACTCATGACCTTGCATTTGCCAGGCAGGTGCTTACATCACTGAGCTAAATCCCTGGCGAACTATGATGATTATTAATTTGGCACCTTTAACATATTTGTTGTTATACAAAAAAATCTAAAACTAACCATAAAATTTTATGTAGTAAATATGCTCTCAATATGCTGAGTTTATCCTCAGAGGAGAAAGTTTTAAAGGAATTAGGGGGAAAATAGAGAAATAAAGAGAAAGAAATTATAAGTGAGGCTGGTGGACAAAAGATTACACAAACTTTGGGAAACTGGTGAAGAAGACTGGAAGGAAAGAGAGAAGGACGAAATTAAAAACAGTGACAGAACATCAACAACAAGAAAAGTAGAGTCAGGTGTGGTGGCTCACGCCTCTAATCTGAGTGTGTGGGAGGCTGAGGCAGGAGGATTGCTGCGAGTTCAAGACCTGCCTGGGCTCCAAAGTGAGCTCAAAGCCAGCCTGAACTGCATAGTGAGGTCCTGTGTCAAAAAGACTCCCTCCCCACAAAAAAAGATAACTAGAAACAACATTCACACTCATATAAACACAAGGACAAATAGTCAAGAAAAAATATTACAAAACAAAATAAAAAAATAAGAAAAGGAAGAGAGGAAGGAAAAAATGTCTACTTTAGGGTGTGTCTCTGCTATCACTGCTAGACAGAGTGGTCAGAGTCCAGATCTGTGTTGATTAATTCCAGCAACCAGCCATACATTTATGGCAGGTTAGTGGATAATCCCAACAAGCCTGTACCTTTAGTTCCATTAAAGTTCAGGCTTATTTCTGGCTATGAGGCAGTAACCAAATTTGTTTAGCCTGCCAGCTTGAACTTGGTTTCACTTTACCCTGACACTGGGAGCCACTAGTTGGAGCTAGCCCCCAGCTGCTCTGAGTTCCAAGCTCAACTGGCCCCTATCCAACCAATCACCAGCCAATCACCTTCTCTTGAGGATGTCTGAACCCAAATAACTTACCAGCAACTTACTTGCCTGCATCCATTGCTGTTCCACTGGTGCACTTATCCATGGAGGCCTCTATATGGCCAGTGGTCACCATGCACATGCATCTGCAAGTTCTATCTTCCATCCAAATTAGGATTAAAGAAGAAAAGTACTGCTTGCCACCTCCTTCTTCTGTTGAGGTCTCTCTGCTGCCCCTCTGTGCTTCAATTTTTGCTGTAGAACATTGCTGGGTCCTGGGAACCCACTTTCTTCCTTCTCTTCCTCACGTTGCTATTTTCCAGCATCTGAACACCAAATCTCAGAGAAGGTCTTTCTCTTGTGTTTGCCATTCCACTTTCTTCTGAGAAGTCTGCTGGCCTTTTATCACTTGTCCATAGTCCACAATCCACTGCAACTAATTAATAGTTCATTGTGTCTTCTGTTAAGGCCAGCCTCTCCTGAAAGAACAAAAGGGCTTACTCTCCCCTCTCTCATCTCTAGTGCTCAACTCTTCCTTGCTCAAGGTGCCCAAGAAGTCCTTGTTGTGTGCATGTATAAATTAACCAGTACAGTAAAATTGGGTCCTCTGTCTAAGAGGCTGATGCATAGAGGATCCTATTAAGTATTTCAGTTCCCGAAACAGTGCTCTAGGTTGGGATGCAGGTGATATTTCAATTCTGAACCTCCTTGCATTTTTCTCATCCCCTATTTTCTTTCTCTTTCATTTGTTATTACATTTGTTTCTCTGACTCTCTGTTTCTCTGGTCTGTGTCTGCCTACACAGGAAGCACGCAGGCTTAGGTCTGAGGTGATCAGTAACGGAAACATTGATGCCTGTGCAAATTTAATAAAGGGTCACAGACTTTTTTTGTCATTATCTCTTCTGTACTTCCCTGAGTTTCTGTCTTGGACCTGATTCTTCCTTCTCATCTGTTTCTTGCATCGAGCCTCAGACTCCTGCCAGTACCCAGGACCAACGCCTCATGCCTCTGCAGATGGCCTCTACAAGGTACTTGGAGGAAAATTAGCAAGTTAGGCTACCTCTTCTGATTTCCTGCTTTGCCAGCCACACAGCCCTGCTGACCACATCCTCTCTCACCTTATTTATACACTTCCTCACCAGACACATCACCCAGGAGTTCTCAGACCCCAAAACCTGCATGGACTCCCATTCTGGCCCTCTGCTTTGCCCCTTCTCCTTACCCTGAAGCTCCTGTTCTTCCCTCCCCCATACACACTGCTCTTAGAACATGTCCCTCTGCCTGAAGCCAGTAGTCTTATTTCCTCCTGGCTCTCCAACTCCTCTTTTGCCCACAGGTGACAGTGTCAACCACAATGCTATCCAGTCGCTGGTGGCCAAGTACCTGGGGGAGTCAAGGGGTAGGACCTCGAAGCCCTTCTCGGGGATCCCAGCTCTGTGCCCTCTATGCCTTTTCTTACACTGCAGCAGATGGCCGGCATGTGTCTCTGGCAGAAGGTGACAAGTTCCTACTACTTCGAAAGACCAATTCGGACTGGTGGTTGGCAAGGCGACTGGGAGCACCCTCCACCTCTCGACCCATCTTTGTCCCAGCTGCCTACATGATAGAGGAATCTACCCCTTCTAAGAATCCAACTGTCATTCCTCCCAACCAATCGCTCTGGACTCCTGGTGAGTAAGCATTAAGCCCTCCTCTATCACCTTCCTGTCTCCCTGGCTTTGGGGAATTATTGAGAGAACCCCTTTTCCCTTAATATCTGCTGATCCCCTTCTCTTATCTCCCTTGGGTCAACCTACCTTTATCCCCCAGCCCCATAGTGGTATCCTCACTCCATTGCCTCCCCCTCCCAGTTCCAAGCTTTCCAGGTCTTGTGTCATTTTCCACAGCCTTCCTCTGACCTTGAAGACCTAGCCAAGATCATACCTCTGATTCCCCCATCACCCTACCATTTCTCTGTTTTTAGAGCCAAAGCTGCTTCATAGCTCACTGGAGGCACTGCACTTGTCTAAGGCACATCACGCTACATCTCAGCAGCCTCCTCCTCTTCCCCCCAAAATGTGTAGAAGTATCAGTGCTGCCAGTTTGAGGCCCAACCCCCTGAAGCCTTTTCAGGACAGGCCAAGTAGAAGATCCTTTTCTGAGGAAGATTCATTGACAGAAGCCAATACTAACATGGTAAGCCACAGCTTTTCTTCTGCACAGAATCAAAAAAATACTATAGCTGACTCCTGTCCCGGCACAATGGAAAACAGCATCACATCCCTGTCCCCAAAGAATTCCCCTGGGGTGACAAACTTAAGTGGGATAACCTTTGCTGACCTGGTGTTGATAAGCACTACAAAGGTTAATACATGTGATGGAGGGTGGCTGAAGTGGTCTTTGAAGGCAGAGGCAGAAGACAAGGACCTAAGGCAAACCAGATAAAAAGGGACAGTAAGTAGCTAGAAAAGTAACTTTCTTCAATAGAAGGGCTGAAAGAAAGCCAGTGGGCTAGGCTAGAGTTTTTCTTTCCCCTCCTGACTCCTAGCTCTGGGTAGGGTGTCTCCCTCCTGTGCCCAGTCTAGCTAGCGTGGACACCAACTCCCCTCTGCAGATTTAACTTAAGGCCTTTGCTCAGTTCTTCCCCTCTCTCATTCTCATTCTTGCTGGTGAATGAGAAGTGGTCCCTCCTCCCTCCCACTCCCCTAGCGGGGTCGCTAAGCTGCCTTCTTTTTCCCTGCAGGATGTGACAGAGGGACACTCCCCTTACCACCCCCCCAACAAAAAGCCTGTTCCCCTTTCCTGCGGCTGGGGCGGTGGCGAGGGGGTGGGGGAGGAGGGAAGTTGGCAACAGGAAGTGAAGAGAAAAGCAAAGAAGAGAGTTTTTTGTTTTTTTAAAGCTGCTCGGGGACTGGGGTTCGGCCCCCTGTACCTGAGTCACTGTCTAGGAGCTGGTGGTGAGAAAATGGTGGAAGAGGGAGGAGGAGGTGGTGTAGTGGGGAGAAGATGGGATAGATACGGACAGAATAACCACTTCCTTCTTCCCCTTTTCTGACAGGCAAGACCCCAGCCCCTCATGTCAGAGCTCCCTGTGTACAGTAACTTGGTGGACCTTCGCCGCTGTCCCCGGTCCCCACCCTCAGACCCTGCATGCCCCCTATTGCAGAGGCTGGATGCCTGGGAACAGCACTTGGATCCCAATTCTGGACGTTGCTTCTACATAAACTCACTGACAGGCTGCAAATCCTGGAAGCCTCCACGCCGCAGTCGCATCCAAGACACGGTGAGATCTTCCCTTCTGCCTGTCCCATGGTCCCCTCAATCTCTTTTCTCCACTGAACCTCAAGGGAGAGTGTTTTCTCTATGGGGCTCTCAAATCAAAAGAAACAGCCACTTGCTAGAAGGGTGTTGAGAGGAGTTGAACGGCGTTTGAAAGTAACTTTATTTCCTCCCTCCGCTGACTCAGAACCCTGGTTCCATGGAAGGGACACAGACCCTGAACAGGGACAACGGTGTCCTGCAACCTCAGCCAAAAAGCTTGGGATCTGACACAGGGACCCTGGAACTGCATGACCCACAGGTGAGCCCCCAAGTGCAGAAAACGCTAGCCTTTATGGAAAATCTTCAGCACCCACAGCACACTCTGCCTCTCAGTCATATTTGCACCCCTTTTTCTCCTCCAGCCAGGGACCTTCAAACTGAAAGTTCCTCTACTTGTTTCTTCAATCCTTGCTCCAGGGTCCACCCTGCCTAGACCAACGCACCTCCCAGCTTGTCCCCTCAGACCAGCCTCCAGCCTTACAGCGCCCTCGAGATGTGCCACAGCTCCTGGAAGACCCCCATGTGAGTCTCTTCGTCTTTCAAACACCAAAAACCTCCCTGCCCCACCCCCCATCCCTGCTCCTCCAAAACATCTTCCTCTTTCTGGGCACCCTCTTTTATCCCAGCTTTAAGGGACCTCATTCCTGGGAGGCCTTAGGGAAAGCTTGGCGGGAGCGGTGGGCAGCATGGGGTGGTTTGGAGATGCGATCCCCTCCCCTTCCACTTCCCAGGAAGTGGAAAAGTCGGGCCCCCTCAACGTGACCAAAATTGCCCAAGGGGGGCGCAAGCTCAGGTGAGGAGAGCCGCACCCACCAGGGAGGGGCCCGGGCGACTGGACTCCGTGGGGGAGAGCTGGGGTTGTGGGCGTGCTCCCAACGAGTAATTCTACAACGATTTTCCACAACCGTGACCGCCTGCCCGCCAGGAAGAACTGGGCCCCGGCTTGGGTGGCGTTGGCGGGTAACAGCCTGGTGTTCTACCGGGAACCGCCGCCGCCGACGGCGCCCTCCTCCGGCTGGGTGAGTGTGAGCGAGGGGTGCAGGGGCGCTGCTTCCCGCCGGCTGAATCGGGCGGTGGGGAGAGCCACGCTGCTTCCTCGAAACCACCGGTGAGGGGGACAACTCCGCGACCTCAGTTTCTTTTCTAATGGCCAGGGGCCAGCTGGTAGTCGGCCCGAAAGTAGCGTGGACCTGCGCGGGGCGGCCCTGTCGCACGGCCGCCACCTGTCCAGTCGCCGCAATGTCCTGCACGTGAGTGTCCTCCTGCGCGCCTTCCAAGTCCTGGCAGCCCCGAGGGCGCACCCCATTTCCCGCACCGTTCTTCCACTCGAGCTCCCAACTTTTGGGGCACCTCCTCGCTGACCCAAGCCTTTCCCTGCACCCCTGCAGATCCGCACAGTCCCTGGCCATGAGTTCCTGTTGCAGTCTGACCAGGAGAGCGAGCTGCGAGCCTGGCGCCGCGCGCTGCGGGCAGTCATTGAGCGTCTGGTGGGTGAGATGAGTGCAAAGCTCGGGAGAAGCTAAAGCTGGGCCGCAGCAGTGGTGTAGGAACAGTAGAAGTCGGGGGGCTCTGGAGCTAGGCTGTCTCGGTGTAGAGCCCTAGCCTATGGGAGAGCTAGGAGGTAGGATCCCGACAGCTTGCTGCCAACTCGGGGTACAAACTGATTTTTGTCTTCTCTTCTAACTTCCTCCACGGCCCATCTTGCCTGCTCTGGTGCAGGAGCGGGAGAACCCTCTGGAGCTGCGTCTGTCCGGGTCGGGACCGGCAGAACTGGCGGAACTGAGCCCCGGGGAGGATGAGGAAGAGGAATCCGAGCCGGTGTCCAAGCCGCTGCTGCGATTCAGCAGCCGCAGGAGCTCCAGTACGGGGCGGGCTCCGGGACAGCTTGGCCTGGGGCTCAGAGGGAGGCCCGGCGCTCCTCTTGGGCTTGGAATTGCTCTACCCGCCTCCTACAGGTCGGTGTCCCGAAGGCACTGAGCAGAATCGCGTGCGGAACAAGCTAAAGCGATTTATTGCCAAGAGACCTCCTTTGCAAAGCCTTCAGGAGCGGGGCTTGCTGCGAGGTGGGTGGGCTGAGACAGCTCTGGTCTTATTGCCTTTCCGCCTATGGCTGTTTTAGTGGTATTCTTTAAGACAGGGTGTCACATATAGTTCATGCTGGCCTGGAACTCACCATGTAGCTTAGCCTGGCATCAAACGCACTGCAATCCTGCCTCAGCCACCCAAGTGTTTTTACAAGCACTGTTTTAGTGTTTTACAACCACTTGCATATTCCTGATCTGGGCATCAGTCCATTTAACAGATGACAGAACTAGAGAAGGTCAGAGCAGAGCTTCCCAGCCATTCCAGTCTTCTCAGACTTTTGCTTTTTCCATTCCCAGTGATTATAATGGGGCAGGGCACTTGGGGGTAAAGATCTGTGCTGGAAGACCTTCTCTTGTTGAGCTGACACTGGCCTCCCACCTTACCCTGCCTCTCCAGATCAGGTGTTTGGCTGCCAGTTGGAATCACTATGCCAGCGGGAAGGGGACACGGTGCCCAGCTTTGTGCGACTCTGCATTGCTGCTGTTGATAAAAGAGGTAATTTTCCCAGACTCCAGAATCTCTCTTTCAACAGGCTACCTCCCCAGCTCTGTCTTCCTGCCACCATTTTTCTCTCCAGCTCCCTTGGGGTCCCTCACCACACACATTTTAGGATGGGACCCTTATCCGCTCCCTGCCTGGTCTTCTAGGTCTAGATGTTGATGGCATTTACCGGGTGAGCGGAAATTTGGCAGTAGTCCAAAAACTTCGCTTTCTGGTGGACAGAGGTGAGAAAGATTGTGGGTGAGTGGTGGTACTAAGAATTCCATGCCTCTGAACTAGGAGTGGTTCCGGGTGAGGGGCTGGAACATGTTTCTTCCTGGAATGTCGTGCCTTAGCTCCTAATCTTTTCTTCTACATGTTGCAGAGCGGGCGGTCACCTCTGATGGGAGGTATATGTTCCCAGAACAGCTAGGACAAGGTACTTACGTGAAAATAACCCTAAAACTTGGTTGTACTCTCCTTGATCTCATGGGTTCCCCCATGTCTTGCTCCTGGGGGAGTTGTGCCCATCCCCATCTTTGCTCTCTTCTCCCCCATGGACTCTCACAGCCTGCCTGTGGTCTGCTTTGATTGGATTTGTCCAGAGCTCCTGACCTCTCCTGTATTTCTCTAGCCCTTCATGAGTTCTGAACCTCTTGAACCTCCTTTTCTCTCTAGAAGGTCAATTAGATTTGGACAGTGCTGAATGGGATGACATTCATGTGGTCACTGGAGCCCTGAAGCTTTTCCTCCGGGAGCTGCCTGAGCCTCTGGTGCCTCCACAGCTGCTGTCTCATTTTCGTGCTGCCCTTGGTAAGGGTTGGACAACACGTTCGATATGGGGGACATGACTAGTGAAAAACAGAGATTCCTTTCCATCTTGATCACAGAACTGGAAAAAAATTCTTTCTGACTTCAGTTGGGGAGGCATATTTTGTTTTGTTTTATTATGTGATTTTTAAAATTTTTAATTAATTATTTTTTAGATGGAGTCCTATTATGTAGCCCAGGCTGCTCTAAAACTTTCAGTCTTCCTGTCCTCCGCTTTCCAGAGTGCTGGGTTATGGGCATGTGTCACTATGCTGCACTGTTTTGTTTAAATATTTAGAGGGCTGAGTTGAAAAGATTCTGATGTTGTATTTCCCAGCTATATGAAAAATAAAATTAGAAGTTAGGAGTGTAGGTCAGTTTAAACTGCACACTTAGTATGCACAAGGTCCTGGCTTCAATTCCTAGTACAAAAAGTAAAAGGCCATGCCAGATTAATAATGTAAAAAAAAAAATCAACTAATGACATCTTCCAAGGACATGGGAAACAAAAAAAGTATAATGGGGTTGGGGATTTAACTCAGCAGCATAAGCACCTGCCTTGCAAATGTGCAGTTGTGAGTTCATTCCCTGGTACCAATAAAAATGGGGAAAAAAGACAAAAAAAAATTTTTTTTAAAGTATAATGAATTTACTCTCCCTAACTCATGCCCTACCCATTATTCTCTCTCTAGCACTCTCCAAATCAGAGGAGCGCCTCTCTCAAATACAAGAATTAATTGAGTCCATGCCAAAGCCCAATCATGACACTTTGCGGCATCTCCTGGAGCATTTATGCAGGTAAAGACCATATCTCTTTTCTCATACTGCAAAGGATGCATAGAGCATGCAGCAGGGGCTCTGTTCAGGTGGACAGAGATAAAGAAACACCTAAGTTTAGTGGGCAGGAGACTTATTGAAGCTTCTGCATAGCTCATTATCAAATGGGAGATGGAACCAAGACAAGCCCAGGAATGTTGTGAGAGAAATAGGGAAAAGTGTTACCTCTTCTTTCCTTTGCTTTTGCCTCCCATTGGGATGGTGGTGATACCAGGTTAGGCTGAGGCAGGCCTGGCCTCATCCTTTTCTGAAAAGAGATGTCCCAAACTATGAGCAGTGAGGACTCTGGGGAACCATCCTTAAAGTAGGATCCCAGTTATTTTCCAGGTTGCGTCCTGCAGGTGTCTCCACTGGTCCATCTCTGTTCCCCTTGAGGCTGTCTTTAGTTCCTTCAGCCACAGAGGGAGCCCAGAGGGAGCAGTTAGAATTTTTTTTTTTTTTCAGTTAAATTGAAGTGGCAAGCTGCTGCCTCATATTTCCTCTTCCCTTGGCCTTTGCCTCCAGGGTGATAGCACACTCAGATAAGAACCGCATGACCCCCCACAACCTGGGGATTGTGTTTGGACCAACTCTCTTTCGGCCAGAGCAGGAGACATCTGACCCGGCAGCTCATGCACTCTACCCTGGGCAGCTGGTCCAGCTGATGCTTACTGACTTCACCAGCCTTTTCCCCTGACTCAGGAAAAGAAGAGGAAATGTTTTCTAAGGGTCTGCTGGACAACTCTTGAGTGGGGAGCAAGATATTTTAAGAACATTCCTATAAACTCTGTCTCCCAAATTATATTCTCCATCTTCCTGGGTTCAGTGTGACAGCTTAGGATCTGGTAAGGAAACTCTGAAAAGTAGAATGAACCCCCACTTCTTTTCTTGTTCCTCTCCTGAGATAACACATAAAGCAGTTCTTTCTGATGTACTTCCTTTATTATCAGGAAACAGTGTCATTATCAAATTCCTCCCCAATACATATACGGACTATATATTGCCCAATCCCTTGTGTCCCAACCCTGGAGCATCTTATGTAGTGGGCTATGACTTTTCCCTGACTCCTCTGGAGAGATGGAAACCCTTTAGGAAATGGAGATCTGATGGACTAGATTCCTCACCCTTCAGGCACTAGAGTTGAGGAATTGTGTCTCCCCAGGTAAGGATCCCAGTAAAACACTCATATTGCCCACAGCCATGTTGGGAGGCCCAGACGGAGGTGGGGTGTGTTCAGAGGTATCACTCTGATCATGGGAAGGGTGAGGACTCAACTCCTGGGTCTCGTCCAGAATTGCCACAAAGTCCAGCTGAGTGTTGTCAAGATCAAGAGAGTCCAGAGGGTTATACACCTGCCCTTCTGGAGGAGGGTACAAGGCAGGACCCCCACCCAGCCGGCCCACCTCGGGATGACCACAACTGGGGTTAGCACCTCCTGCCTTGAGGGGCCCATAGCAAGTAGGCAATGGAGGTAGAAGCCGGGGTGGTGCCACTGCCCTATGGGATGCTCTATTTGCCCCTACTGAAAAATTTTCATGGCATAGTGAAGGGTTATGGTAGGATGCTGATTTGTTATTGGGTAAGTTGGGTGTAAATCCAGGTCCATAAGTGGGAACTGGGGCTTTGGCAGGGCTTGGGCTAACCTGGGAGTTCCCTAAAAACTTAGGATTCTGGTAAGGAAGTTCCTGGCCTGGGGCCTCTCCCCTGCCTGCACCCTCCCAAAGCAGTTCCTGCTGAGACTGAACATAATTACACACTAGCTGGGCTTTGAACTGTCCCGTAGAATGGGCAGGGGAATCAAAATCCAGGCCAGTCCTGGATTCTGAAGGGAGATAATCAGGAGGTGGCTGAGGGTAGGAGCCTGTCTGGGGATATTGAGGGGGAGGAGGCTGGGGATAGTGGGAGAATGGCGGCGGTGGGCATGGGTGTTCCTCACTAGGGTGTGCATTGAGGCAAGGTGCCAGTCCTGTGGTGTCAGACCCTATTGGGCACCCTTGTTCTGGCTTGACTTGCACTTGTCCATAATGTTCAAGTCGAGGACATTGGCTATAGGCTCCACTTGTGATCTTGGGGCCTGGGTACAGCCCAGAGTGGGAAGGGTACTCACTCCATGTTTCTGGGGTATGGTCAGGGTAGGAGACCTGTTGGGGACAGGGGCCAGGGCCATAGTTGGTGGGTGGACCAGGCCCAAGAGGCAGAGAACCTGGACCCCTGGCTCCATATGGCTCAGTTGCTGGTCCTTCAGTCCCCCCATATCCCAGAGTATCAGCGGATGAGAAGCCCATGTAAGGGTTCAGGCTACTGCCCATAACAGAAGTTCCAACCTCTGGCTCCTCCTGTAGCCCTCTGGTATCCATGGTGACATTCTCAGTGATGCTGGGGGGCTGTGGTGAATAGACTGAGGTTGGGACATGGGGTTCAAAATTCCGTCCTCCTGCTACAGAAGGGGGTGTGTGGACACAGCCCAGGCTCTTGAACCTCTGGACTCTGGCAGGAGCAGGGCGGTCAGCAGCCCGGGCTGGGTCACTGGCCCTCCGGGTGACCCCTACATTGGGATTGTATCCTGGATACTCAGCTCGGCTTCTCCAAGGAGGTACAGGAAGGGTCCCAATCCGATCCAGGCTGGGTGCTGTGGTTGGTGGGGTACCACCTGCCCTGGCTGAAGCATATCTTGCCCGGAGCAGGTAGTGCTGGGCAGGCGTGAGGCCAGGCAGGGAAGATATCCCGTTCTCGGGTGGAGACCCAGGAGGGAAAGGAGAGGCGAGGGAGGAGCGACGGCTGACAGTATAGGCAGAGCTGATGCTGCTTGAACTGCTGCTCCGGCGGTCAAGAGAGACAGAGGGGCCCAGACGGCGGGACGCAGGAGTGCCTGTAAGTGACAGTGAGAACAGGTAGGGTAGTCAGGGGGTTCTCTGACTCTCATCTTGCCTCTCTCAAGGAACAGTCTTGTCCTGGAGTCATAGGCCCTTTAACCCTATCTACTCAGTTCTGTTTCCTACTTCTCTCTCAATGTTTATTCAGCTTCTGGGTCACCAGGGGTTCAGGGCTGCTGTGAATAGCCATATAGGTTGCGCACTACAATTCTAGGGGACAGCATCTATATCACAGACCCTGTGTATTTGTATACTACAACTTTCTGACAGATGAAAGGAAAAGTGCCTTGAGGAAGGGGGGCCTTTTTCTTATTGTACAGAGGTGCCATATGGCAGCCCTGAAGGGGTGACTTCCTCCTCCCACCCTCAGGGCAGGTCTAGATCTCAACCAGCAACACTTCCCATACCCAGATCTCACCAGTTTGGGTCAAGCTGGGCAGTTTGAGACCCCGATGCCCCACTGGCCGGAGTTGATGCAGCTGGTCCAATCTGAGGTTCTCAAGGCGGCGTAGAGTGGAAAGTCCAGTGCCGGCAATGCAGGGGCCTTCATCTAAACTGGACAGGTCCTCAGTGCTGCCCCCTGCATTGCCTGTCATTTCCACACCACTGTCTGTATTGGCTGCACTGCCTGCTGGGGAGTGGTCACTGCTGCAGGAAGACTGTGCCCCAGGGCTTGGCTGTGGCTTCTGTGGGGAAGATGACGACTGAGGGTGGCACCCTTGCCCCTCCCCGTAGCCCTACAACTTGGTGAGTGGTAGAAGCATATGAACCAGAGACGACTGGGGCTGAAGGGAACCATAACAAGTGTACAAGAGGCTGAGCAGGTGGGAGAGACAGGAACAAACCAGAAGAGAGGTGTTTCGAAGAGTCCAGGCTGGAGCATAGACTACCAGGCCACAAATTCTTACCCAGTCCTATAGTTTTAGGCAATTTCTTTATGCCTGTGTTTTCTCACCTGAAAATGGGAGTAAACTTCTTTCTTATGAAGTTGTTGTGAGAAATGTTGTGACATTTTGCATGTAAAAAGCTTGAAACAAACTGAGCATAGTGGTGCACACCTATAATCCCAACACCTGGGAGGCTGAGACAGTAGGATCACTTTACACTGAAGGCCAGCCTAAACTACATAGCAAGATCCTACCTCAAAAAAAGAAAGAAAGAAAGAAAGAAACCCGGGAACAATGCATTAAGTGCTAATGAGAATTTCTTACTGTTTTTTTTTTTTTTGAAATTCTGTATTACTTATACCCTTAAACTGTTTTGTTTTGTTTTTCCTTTAAATAAAAAAAAAAAAAAAAAAGAGAGAGAGAGAGAGAGAGTTGAGTCAATTAAGTAATTCACAACTCTAAAGCCTAAGAAATAACACTGGGACAAGAAACAGGCAGACTGGCCACAGAGAGCAACTTACATAGGAGAGGACAGTTAGGAAGGGGCTCGAAAGATGTCAGCTGAGCAGGCTAGGGAAACAAAGCAACACTGCCGTGCTGGCTCACCATGGCGCCCTCTGGCACAGTCAGTCTGCTCTCTTCCCTGATGGGGCCTCCTTCTCGCTCCCTCTTGGGCTCCACTGTACAAAGGGATGGTCCCCGGGGCAAAGGCCCATCCCCTCGATGCCGCTTGGTCACATGGGCGTCAGGACCATGCACTGTCTTGACATGTTTTCGCAATGAGCTGGGGTCTGTGTAGCGTTTGGTGCAGCCAGGGAGCTTACATACATAAGGCTTCTGCAGAGTGGAGAGAGAAGACAGAAGGCCAAGGGATCAAAGGGAAAGAATACAGGAGGAATGGGGGAAGGTGACAGTGAATTGGGAAGGTGGGGGCACAGCATCCAAAGGAGTAAGGGGGCGGGGTGGGAGTCAAGTATGAGAGGCTTAAGGGAGAATTAGGAAAGCTGATAACTCAGGCCTAGGAAAGATAAAGATAGCTATGGGGCCTCATAAACTCTGAGGTTGAAGGGACCAGGGGTCTACACTAGACCAGGTCTGTTTTAAATTAGGTCCTGGCTTGTTAATGGTAAATGGTAATTTTTGATTTCAGAAAGGCCGACTCTGGAAGAATTATGTAAGTGGGGGAACTCACCTCTGTGGAGTGGGTGCTATGGGATTTCCTATGGGGGAATCTCCCCAGTAGGTGGCTTCTCAAGTGGGAAGGATCTCTTAGTTGGGGCATTCACCTCATTGGAATGAGTCCGATTCTGGTGCTTGGCACGGTCGCTGGCATTGCTGAAGGCTTTACTGCAGCCCTCGTGCTCACACATGTATGGCTTCTCACCCGTGTGTGACCGCAGATGTGTCTTCAGATTCTCAAGGCGTGAGTATGACTTGCGACATCCTTCAAACTAGGGGACACACATGAGGCAAATGGCAACTCTCAGACAGATGCACATGGAGAATAAAGGAGCCCTAAATCTGAAAAGGGACCATCATCATAAAATATAGATCAACATGGGAGGGCATTGGGGCTCGGGGGAACTCTCAAATTTAGGAGACAAGAAAGGGAAAAGTGGAGGAAGAGAAGGAGCGAGAGGCTCTCTACTGTCAGGAGTGTGGTGCTGGGAAGTGAGTACCTCGTGATCAGGCCAGAGCAGGTTTCTTTACCTGTGAATCTTAGACTGGCCAAGAATAGGGTCTGAGAAAAGTCTTGTGCCCTTGATGTAAGACTTATCTACTGCACAGAGTTTTTCAGAAGGCAGAGTACTGAGGGCGTGTGATATAGTAAGGACGCCACAAACATGTTTTAAATTTGGGAGGGGGCGTACTAGCGTACTAGGAGTCAAACTCAAGACCTCATGCTTGCCAAGCAGGTACTGTGCTGCTGAGCTATAGCCCCAGCCCTTAGTTTATTTATTTATTTTTTTTTTACTTTTTTTTTTATCGGTACCAGGGATCGAACTCATGACCACCTGCTTGCAAGGCAGGTGCTTATGTCGCTAAGCTAAATCTCCAGCCCCCTCCCTTAGTTTACTTTAAAGTCAAGAACAAAAGATAAACTTTTAGGTGCAAGGAGATGTGTCAATAGATATTAATATGTTCATCTTTTAAATGACTCATGCAGTCATAAATAAGATTTTGTTATTGTAGTACTGAGCACTGAACTCAGGGGCTTTATACTAAGCTATATTCCAAGCCATCTTTAATTTTATTTTGAGTCAGGGTCTTACTAAGTTGCTAAATTATCCAGGCTGGGCTCAAATTTCTGATCCCCCTGCCTCAGCCTCTCAGAGTATAAGTGTGTGTCACCAATCCTGTCTTTTTTTTTTAAAAAAGTGTCAAGTCTGGCCTTGAACTAATCACAACCCTCCTGCCTCAACCTCTAGTATTATTTTTAATATTTCTCTATGCCCAGCATTTTAATATTTTTTTTTTTATAGAGCAAGTGACCTATGAATGGAAAAAGTCTGCTTTGGATCCTACCTTGACAGAGAGCCAATTTAAGGAGGAACTCTGGGCTTGGGAACGGGTATCTCACCGTGCACTTGTGTGGCTTCTCGCCTGTGTGTCTGCGCATGTGCACCACCAGCATGTACTGGGCTTTGAAGGGCCTCAGTTCCCTGGAGCAGCCCCCCCAGTGGCACACAAACTCCTTCCGTTCTCCATGGATGTGCTCACTGTTGATGTGCTGAAGGAGAAGATGAAAAGGCTCTCCAAGGTCCCCCATCCCTGCAAACCCAGAGCAGAACACCCCTGGCTCCCCTATTCCTCCTTTCAGCTCTATCTCATGGGGGTAGAAACATATATCCCACATCTTGGGGTCTCAGCTCTGTAAAGTAAACCTATAGCTTTCTGAGCTTTTGCTATCCCCCAGAGAACTCAACCTCTGACTTTAGTATCCTCAGACTCCTGCTCTCCACAGTGTCCCACTCAGGGTCTCCTATGGGGTCCAGCCAGCCGTTCCTGTTACCCCCTGGGGCTCACGTGCACCAGCTGCTCTTGGGAGTCAAATTCTTGGCTGCAGCCATCCCAGCGGCAGTCAGTCTCATACACAGACTCAGGCTCGGGCTTCTCTTCCCTCTCCAGGTCCTCCCGCCCATCCAACATCCCCAACAGAGGATCCTAGAGCAGGAGAGGCAATTTTAGGGTGACAGCTTTCATTCTTCCCAAGTCCCAGAGGTAAGGTCCCACCTGTTCCCTTACCTGTGTGCCTGTGGAGTTGGGGCTGGACATATTCCCTTCCAAGGATTCCTCCTGGCACTTGCCAACCAGCAAGTCCAATTCTGACTTCAGCTTCCCCAGAAAGAGAGTTGAAAGTGATGAGGGCAGAAGTAGGCAAAAGGAAGAGGAACCCAGCCAGGTCTTTCTGGCCCAAGTGCCCCACCCTAGCTGTGGAAGGACTGTCCTCCTCAGACTGTACTGGCAGGTAGACTAGACAAAACATGAGATCTCACCTGAAGAGTCTGAGTCAATCCCAAGGAGCAAACCCACAGCACCCATGCCCCTAGTTTCCTGGTACCAGAAACTTCTACATCTCCTGTACTCCCTAGACCTTTTTCTTAAACTCATCTAGGCTGAGCTGGGGGAAATTGGACAGCAAAATAGGGGCTCTCACCTGGCAAGTGGGGAGGGGCCCCCGGGACTGAGGATGTGACATCATCCCAACCCGGGTAGAGTCATGAGGACCACAGGGCTGGACCCCAAAAGAAGATGAGGTCCCTTTCTGGTGATTCATCTGGGCTGGAAATCCCAGAGATGGGCTGAGGAAAAGAGGTGACAGTTAGCGAAAACTATGAGAAAGTGTCATAAATCCTTGGACTGTCTGCAGGGCTTCGGGAAGACTTGATATGATGCTTGGCTGAGGCAGTCCCAGGGAAGGTCTGAGGAGAGTTTTGATGCCTTTGAAGATAAGAACTCAAATGGGGCTGGGGTTTTGCAGGCTTAAGGCTTTTAATAGGTTTCAGTGGGGAGTTTAAGGGCTTCTAAGCCTAGGGCTGCCTGCACCTCATGGTGCCAATGGAGAGATGGCCATAGGAGCCTCCTGGAGATGTGCAGCGTGAGTTGATAAAGGCCACAAGGGAGCTGGGCGAGGTGCGGATGACTGTCTGCAGGTCCAGGCTGGCATCTGACAGAGGTGAGATGGAAAGTGCCCGCTTCTTAGTCAGCTTCACTGCACTCCGGGGAGGAGGAAAGAGTGGCCCTGGACACACAGGAGATAAGATAAAGGACCATGTCTCTATGCACCCCATCTGTGGGTCCTGACCCTCAGCAACAAATGATACTTGACTCTGCCTTGCCCTACTGATCTCATCTGTGGCCTCTTCATTATTCTCTGCGCCTTACATCTCTGAGCCTTTTCTCCTCCAAATTAAATCCCTTCCCTCCCACTTTCTTCAGAACAAATCCCAGAGGGGCAGAGATAAAAGAGGGAATGCTTGGGGCCTTACCCTCAGTGCAGCTGTTGGTTTCTCTGGTTGGTCCATAACTATGGGGACTGGACATGAGGTTGGCCTGTTGGCAGAAGGGCAGACCAGATAGTCCTAGAAAAGAGATGGCTAGAGTGGGGGATGGGAATGGAGGCTACCTAGGCCTCACCTTGAAACCTCAAGCAAGACCTGATCCCAAAGTTCAAGGGCTGCATGACATGGGACCACAAATCCTCTTATAGATGGGAAACTAGTTTGGGCTAGGAATGGAGTTGGGTGAAAGATCGGCCAAATCCTTAAAACCCAGGGACTGGTAAATGCACCTACCTTCTGTCCCCATGCTGGGAGTCCCTTGGCTGGGGAGGGGTCGGAGACAGCATGGCTCACCATAGCTACTGACTGGTGGTGGGGTCATGGAGTTGAACATGGCGTCTCAGAGGAATGTGTATGGATGCTGCAGAAGGGGCAAGCAGGTCTACAAGTCATAAAGATGGAGGGAAATAGGGAAGACCAGGTGACAACTAAGGCACAGTCCTGGCCATCAGGTCCCCTGTGCCACCAACTTTTCTAGGACATCAGCCATGGGAATCAAGTTGCACAGACCATTACTCAGAGAAAGAGGGTAGAACAAATATCTCAAAGAGGTAGAGGCAATCTTGTAGGCTTGGGGCTGGGGATTTAGCTCAGCGGCATAAACACCTGCCTTGCAAGCAGGCGATCACAAGTTTGATCCCCAATACCGATAAAAAATTTTTTTGTAGGCTTGAGTCTCTTGTTAAAACTGAGAATCAAACCCAGACCCTTCACAATAAACTATATCCCCAACACACCTGCCACCTACACACATCATTTAAACATTTTTTTGAAACAGGGTTTCACTAAGTTGCCTGGGCTGAGCATGAATTTGCTCTTCTGCCTCATCCTCAGAGTGCTGGGCCTACAAGAACATGACACCACATTCATCCAGTCTTAAGGGATCTTTCTAGGAACTGGGGAGGAGCTTTGCCTGGGTAGTGTGTGTGTGTAGAGAAAGATATTAACTAGCCATAAGAGCCAGGCGACTGTGGTGCATGGGCCCCCTACTTCTTGTACTGACCATGAGCGGGTCACAAGGAAGAATGGGCTGGGCTAACTTTAGTGGGGAGGTCTGACTTCATGCCCTGGGAAGCTCAGTGAGAGTTCCTTTTCTCTTGCCCCAGCCCAGGGACAGCCTGTCTGCTATTTCTTCAATGTTCAGCAGAGGGAGCCTTTACCACAGTCCAGACAGAGGCTGGCGGGGGCCGGGAAGGAGCAGAAAGGATCTATCTATCCTCTCTTCTTTTAAACCAAAAATGATGTGTAAGAGTAAAGTTTCTGAGGGGAGCCTATGGGCCTTTTGGGTAGAAAGGATGGAAGTTGATACCATTTTGGGGTGGATTGTATGTTGCCCACCTACTCCTTTTAGTCTGTTTTGAAGAAACAGGAAAAGTACAGTTAGGGAAGGCTCTAAGAGAATGGAAAAGTCACCATCCATTAGAATGGAAGGAAAAGGTGCCGCTCTTCTCAAACTCCAGTTTTACTCCATCCCGGGTTTTCAAGGCTCCCGGGAGCGAGGGTGGGGTGGGGCGGGGTGGGGTGGAGAAGGACCGGGAGCGGGCCGGCCGGCGCGGTGGGTGATCCCGGGACTCCGGGGTTTAGGGTGAGGGCGGGGTAAAATGGGGAGCGGAACCCGTATCCTACGACCCAGCCCGAGCCCCGCATCCTGGGCTGTACCCTCCCTAACTCCTCCTTTTCCATCGAGATCTGGATCCTGCATCCGAGACCTCCCAACTCGACCTTGGCACCAATATGGGGAGGGGGGGTCACAGCTGGCTGGCAGCTGGCTGAGGGGCACTCCTCCCGCCTTCTTCCTCTATGACTCACCCAGGGAAAAGAGGACTCGCACTCGAACCCCCAAATACTAGAGAATCCCCCAAAAGTTTGTATACTCTTGTTACCGTCCTGCCCCGCTGCCCGGCTGCCGCTAGAAGCCGCGATGGAAATGGGGTGACATCCTTCTTCGCCTACGCGTGCCACAGCCCACCCACGTCTCCCTTTTACACTAGTAAAAGGAAAATATCGCTAACTTTCCAGCTTCAGTGAACTTTTTCGGAGATAGGTTAAGAGGGTACGGGATGAAGCCAGAGGGCCTAGGGTCCCCCCACCGGCGCCCTGAGTCATCTTTGGTATCTTCTTATTTTCTGGAGTCCTCCTAGTACCCTCGCTCCCCAACTCCCAGGAGTCGGCCCCGCCCCCTCTCCCGGTCCCGCCTTCCCCGCCCCCGTGCCTCTTCGGCCCACCCAAGTCGCCGCCGCAGGCCCTGGCTGCAGACGGCTCCGCTTCCCCCGCCCGCCCCAGAGCCCAGACGAGCGAGCCGTAGTAGGGGGGTGAGGGGCGGGGCACATTCTTCCCTCCTCCTCCTCTCTTCCTCCAGCTCCCAGTGCACCCAGAAAGCAGGGGTGGCACCCTGAGGGCCTCTGTTGGAAAGTGGGAGCCCCGCTGGTGGGGGTGGAAAGAATTCAGAAGCCATAGGGAAAGAGTGCTTGGGTAAATAAAATAAGGTGAACACTACTAGGAGTGAGACATCTTAGGTTTCTGGATATCCCAGCCAGCTTCCTAAGGGTTAACCCCGCCAGACCCCCGGGAACCCCCAGTGACGTCAAGGGCGGGGTTTCAGTCGCCGCACGGGGATGCCGCGGAGATAATGGGGGGGGGGTCTCTGGACTCCGCCCCCTAGGGAAAACCACCCTCATTCCTGTCCTTACGTCTCCCCCAGGAAGCCTCCCAGCCTTGTCCCTTACTGGATAGAATGAACTACCTAATAAGACCCCAGTTCTCCAGTCCCCTAAAACCCTCAGTCTCTACGGAGTCCCCTTTCCCTAATTCAGTTCCAAAAGCTAGCTGCCCAGGGCTGATTGTTTCGGGGTCATGGGGCCTGAAAGAAGCTTCAGAGAGGGGAGCAAAAGCAGGCAGGGTGGTCTAAGCCAGAGGAGGGGCCTCGGTCTTCAGCTCCCGTTTGGGCGGGGGGCCAACGGGGATACACAGGGCAGGCAACGGTCAGTGGTCCCTCTCAGCCCCAGTAGGGGTCTCCCTGCAGCTGGCTCCAGCTGCCCTGGTGGTCCTGAGGTCAGAGGGTCAAGACAAGGTCTTCCCTACTCCTCTTTAACTCCCGGTTCTTGGGACTCAGAGGTCCCAAATTCCTTGGAGTTTTTCTAAGACCTAACCTGCACCTCTAACAGCCCCTCCAGCCCTCTTCCTAGACCCGTGTGCACTTCTATCCCCCAAAACACAGGCATCCCCGGACACATCTGTCACGAGACAGGTCAGGGGCCCAAGCCCAATCGGCCTCTAGTGGTGTTACTGCCTCTCACATACCCGGTCTCCAGCCCACCTAAATTTCCCCCTTAGTCGGTAGGTCCCTTCCTCTCAGCCACTGACATCTTCCTGCCCAGAGTTCGGAGACGCACCTGGAGTTCCCTCTCTACTACGAAGACCTCCAGTGGGCCATCCCAATATCTTCTACATTCCAACCTCAGGAAAAAGAGATGTTCTAATGCGTGGGAGAAGTGGAGACAAAGAGACCCACGATTGCCTGAGACAGACACACAGACTGTCAGAAGAAAAAGAAGAGATACAGTGAAAAGGAGTCGCCAATGAAAAAATTGTCCAAACTTTCTAATATCTCGCCCATTGTCTCCCACCCCATTTTTCCAGAGCCCCAGGTCTCCCTCCGGGCTAGGATGCGTCCCCCGTAGCGGAGCATCCCCCAGATCCCCCTCCCCCACCACTCCCAGGTGGTCCCCCGCCCGCCCCCCTTCTCACCTCTGTCTGGGCGCAGGGCTCGGGATGCGCGGTCCAGAGCTGGAGTCTGGGCTGGGGGGTGTGCGGTGGGGAGGGGGGGCAGACCCGGCCGCGGCAGGCAGCCTCAATGCCACCCCACCCCCCCACCAACCTGGCCCCCAGCCCTCCCGCCGGCCCAGCCCGCCGGGCTGCAAGCCGGGACCACCCGCGAGAAGCACTAACTTTTTTTCCTTTTGCAAAAACTTTTTCTCGCTCTGGCCGCTTGGCGCGTCGCCGCTCTTCCCGCTCGCCCCTCACCTCCCACCTATTTCCCTCCCTCGGACCGTACTGGAGGATGAGGTAGGGTAGTTGGAAGCGAGAGAGGGGGTGCCGGGCTTATTGCACCCCCAGGACCCCCAGGATCCACCCCCTCCCTTGAGGGACTCTATACTGCCTACCCCCCCAACACGCTGTGTTGGTGGGCAGTAAATCCCGGGATGGAATTCCCTGGATCGGCCATCCGCGAAGAGGCCCTCAACCAGAGCCAGGAAAGCATCCATAAAAATACTTCGGGGCGAGGAAGGGAGGGGGAGCAGTTCCCTTGAGAAAGGTAACATTGAAAGTAGGGTCGTCAACTTTGACTGGCAGTAACTGAGCTTCCATCACTCTGATTTATTGGCCAGCCTCTCCCTTTGGATGGAATTTAGTTGGCACAGAGGCGGGGTTTGGCCAAACTGAATTCAGGGGTTGGTAACCGTGGAGGAAGGTCTACAAAGCATAAAAAAGAGGCACAGTGACTAGAGCTCTGAGTATAGGTTGGAGTGTTCACCAGGTCACTAAGAAAACGTGAGTCTGAAGCACCCTTCCCGCGAAACCGGCTCTTTCTGAGGCCACCTCCACACCTCTTTAGTTTGCCTTTTCTGTTCTTTAAGGCTTTTTGCTCCCTCTGCTGGTCATCCTGATACATGACACCTTCTTGGAGTCTGCACGCAAAAGACCAGGGAGCTGAAGAAGGAACCCAGAGAAGTTCCCCAGTTAGGATCCCAGGAATGGGAAAGTGTGAGCCCAAGTAAGCTGAGGGATACACTCGAGGAGGCTGCCAGCGGTCCGAGGTAATGCGGGGGGGGGGGGGGCTACACTTTCTCTTTGAATTTCTGTTGCCATGGTGACCAGATGCAGGGGGAGGGCAACTATTTCAGCCTCTGATCTTTCTAAGAAATAGGAGAAAGGATGGTGAGAGAAAAGATTCTCTTTCCCTTTCTGTCACCTCTCACCCAGATCTCCCACATCCTCACTCTGCTTCTAAGGACACTTCCTTGGGCCTGGAAGGTCAGCAGGTTAACTGTTCAGGTTAACTTTGAAGGTCAGAGAGGGAAAGATGAAGCCAAGGACAGATCTGGGGCCTTGCAAATACAGGTAGTGATTACGGGATGAGGCAACTCTGAGCCTTATTTGAGCCTATATCTCCACATGACTGACCCGGAACAGTTTTACTGAGAAGCTCAGGGACCCATTCAGTCAGGTCCAGTTAATGAAAAAGATGGGATCCTGTGTATGTTTCCTACATGTTTCTGCTCAGCCACTTGCCCTGCTTTCCAGGAAAGCTCTTTTTAAACACAATATAAACTAGTAATTCTTTTGTTTTCTTTTTTTGCTACATTTTCTAGTACCAATTCTTTTGTTTTCTTAAAACAGGGTCACACTACATAATCCAGGCTGGCCTTAAACTCACTATGGAGCCCAGGCTAGCCTCAGACTCACAGGAGACCACCTGCTTTGGCCTTCCAAATGCTGGGATTACAGGCGTGTCCCACCATGCCCAGGAGAGGTCAATAATTCTTAAATTCAAGACTTCACTATACTTTTTAAAATTATTAAGCTTGGGGTTGGGGATTTAGTTCAGTGGCATAAGTGCCTGCCTTGCAAGTGCGTGGTCATGAGTTCAATCCTCGGTACCAATAAAAAAAAAACGAAAAGAAAAGAAAGTTACTAAGCTTTTTTCTCGCATGTATCTTTTTTTTTTTTTTTTGGTACCAGGGATCAAACTTACAACCTCAAACTTGTCAAGCTTATGCCACTGAGTTATATCTCCCTCCCCAATGTGTCTTGTATCCATCAATTCTTCATGTTAGAAATTAAAACAAAAAATTATTACAAGAATATACAAGTTCACATTCCATTAACAGTGATGTCAGAAAGATGATGTAATCACATGTCACACATATGAAAGTTTCACTGTATAACATTGAGATAATGAGCAAATAACATCTTAATATTATGACGAAAAAGTTTCTGACCTGTAGAAACTCCGTAAGGACCTCAGGGATCTAGCAGAAGGCTACAGATCACATTTGAGAGCCATTGCTGTGGATCATCACCTCAGCCTTTCTTAATGATGCACACTTGTTGTTTTCTTTCTTATTTTTATTAGGAAACTATAAATGTTAGTCTCCCCAGTGGTTCTGGGGAGAACCAGACAAATTCTTAGGCTCTGCACCCATCCTAGCATTTGAGAGGCTGAGGCAGGAAGATAAAGCTTTTGAGACAAGCCTGAGCTAATAGCTCCTGTCTCAAAAACAAAACAAACAAAAAACCCAAATTGAAGCCGTTAACAGTCCCCATCCTCTGCCAGCCTCTTTGCCCCATCCTAAGCCTTCTGGGCCTTCTGCTTTCTTCCTCCTTTACTTGAGGACTTTTAGTTCTTGGAAGAGACTAACTTTTCTTTACCTTCTCCTTCCCTACCTCCCCCCACCAGCCCCTGTCATTCTTTCTCAGGGATTAGGATAGGAAATCATTGCCTTACAGAAACAGTTTACCCATCACTCCATATATCGACTAGCCTGAAATAGGCCAGTATCTAGGACAAGAGAGTGCCTGCTGGGACTCCAGAGGGGTTGATCCAGTCACACTTCCAGGCAGCCTAGTGAATGGGGGTATGGATCAGAAAATCTGATGCCTACAGACACAGATATCCTTTTCCTAGGAACCCCCAACTTGATCTCTTCACTCTAAACCCCCAGATCCTCTTGCTAGCTGCAGCCACAAGCCTCCACCACCATGTCTGGCACATCCGTCTTGACCACATTGCCATTACGGTCAAGATAGAGGAGAGAGAGAGGCCTTCTGGCAGTGGGTACACAGCAGGAGCTACCTGCAGGCCAAGGATTGTTGGCTTTGAGGAGGTTGAAGACTGCAGAATGGAAGGAGGCAGCAATCCCAGGGCTGCCAGCCAGATGGGGAGGGCACTTTCCACTGCAGTAATTCAGTTGGTACCCCTCTGGCTGCAGGATCCAGTCCCGCCATCCAAGTTCTTGGAAGTCTACATAATAGTTTCGCCTACAACATAAGGGATTCTCAAGCTCACAGGTGGGAGTCCTCCTTCTGGTTCGACCTGCTCCAGGCTCATAGGCTTGAATCTTAAGCTCCAGGAAGGGACGGTGGTGTCCTGCTGTGTCCAGGTGCTGCCTCAGTTGTCCAGTAGCAGCTGTGCTGTTGTCTTCTAGAGTTCTACAGTCCAACTGGAGTTTCAGGATACCAGACTGCTCACCTCTTAAGCCACTAGAGGGCAGAATCAAAGCATGCCAGCCAGGAGAATTTATTTGGTGCTCAGCCAGGAGGGCAAACGACCCTCTGCGCCTCCTCCCTGGGACCCATTGGAAGATCCTCAGGTGAAGAGTGCCAGAAGGGGGGGTGGGGAGAACATACAGCCAGAGGCGGGAATGGTATAGGTGACGGTACTGGAGAGTGGACAGCTGGAAAGTGAGCATGGAGCTGCAGGTTGAAGTGGATGTGTCTACCAGAAAGACAGCAAAAAGAGAGATGTGAGCAGAGATAAAGCTTTCTTTGAAACTCCCCCAAGCCTCCAACTGATCTCCCTCACACCCAGCTTTAGAAAAAACAGAGGCTGCCTGTGTCCTTGCAACCATTCTCTGCTCAGCTCCTCCTCCTGCCACACCCCACTCCCTCTACCTCCTGTCAGGCTCTGCTCTCCCTCCTTTTCCTATGTGCTTCCTGACTGTCTTCTTACTCACCTGTGATGGTAGCAAAACTGATGACCTCTTCCTTCATTGAAGCCACAGTCCCAGATTGCAGTCTCCGGAGGGCTCTGGTCAGTGCCGCCTGGGGTGGAGGATGAGTTATTCGGGGACGACTGGTCAGGTGCAGCCCCTTGAGGATCTGTTGCTTTGCTAGCTCCAGCATCAGAGTTCTTTCTGCTTGAAGTGCCAATGCTGGGCTCCCACAGGATGGACATGCAGATCCTACGCCCTGTACCCACACCAGTGCCCACAGCAGCATCAGCCAGAGCTGGGCATTAGGGAGTCCCATACTCCGGGTGGATAGTCCTGAGTCAGAAGTCGAAGATGGCAGTTTCTCTTCTATAGAGTTTGATTGCATTGCAGCCAATGTAGGCACAGCAGTGCCAGATGTCAGTGCCAGAGCTACCTTCAACATAGGGTAGGGCCACTTCTATGGCCCAGGACCCAGGAAAGCTGAAAGTGGATTGTCCGATGGGTAGCTAGGTTTGACTCTCAGAGTTCATGACTGGCTACTGACCTAGGCCCCTTTAGAGCCAACTGACTGGGACTCCCCAACCTAGTAGTCACCCAGCAGACCTACCCACTGAGCCTTGGGATTGGCCAGCTGTGCTGCCCATCAGGCCCCTGTAGGGGTGGAGGTCCCCCCTCAGCTCGGGTTTCACCATCTGCCTGTGGTGGCTTGAGGTAAGGGTAAGGGGGCAGCAATGTGGACATGCATGATGCAAGAAAGAGGATGATTTCACATGCTCAGTTCCCAAGGTCTGGGACTCAGAGGAGGGACTCCATATGTGCCAGGTGGGGAAGGGCAGTTTCCCCCTGTATCCAGTCTATCTAGCTTGCCCAGCCATCCTGCTGCAGCAGTTTCCATAAGGCAGCTGTAGTTCCAGTGGTCATTTCTCTGGAGCCTTTCCACCAGAAGGAGAATTTTGGTCTCTTTATTTCTAACATAGGGGATGGGCTAGGGGTGAGAGTCTGGGTGGTGGTGATAAGAGAGGGGAGTCCTCTTGCTCAGGCCAAGGTGGCAGTGCCACAGGACACAGAAGTCACCCCTTGTTCCTGCCTGTGCTGGCTGCCCAGAGTCCAGTTGGACTGGAGTGCAATGTGGAGGAGGGCCAGAGCAAGAGTTGGGGACATGCTACTGTGATGTCTGGGGAAACCCAGAGGGTGGGGGTAGGAATGATGCAATCTTACAGCAGGGCAGAGTTCAGCTATCCAGGCTGGCAGGAGGGTATGCCACTTGGGAGGCCCTTCTCTTTCAAGGCATTGTAAGATTTGCCTAAATGTGAACCATCCTAGAAGTGATGCCAGCTAGCCTCTGTCAATGAAGCTTAGAAAGTGGGAGGCTTAAGGGTTTTTAAGAATGAAGCAGAAAACAGTTCCCAATCTCAACCTTCCTTACCTTTGCCATCCTTTCTCATGCACTAAACATCTGGGATCAAGCAATCCTACCACTTCAGCCTCCCAAGAAGCTGGAACTATTGGTATACACCATGGTCTTTGGCCCTCACTGACTTTAAATGGAAACAGGAAGTGGATGGGTCCCAGGCTAGCTTTTTTTTTTTTTTTTTCTTATAGCCCACTTTCTTAAAGAAGCTGGAGGAAGTGTCAAAGAAAAAGCTGTGGAGAAAGAGTGTGATTTAGAAATGTGTCCCTATTCCACTTATTCATCTTTTCCCTGTTTAGTTGCTGGGGCTGTCAAGAGAGCACCAGACCTGGAGCCAGGTAGGTGGGTCACCCTGAGGACTGGGCTTCAGTACCACCAGTGTCCACCATGTGGCAGAGCAGTGCCACTGGACAGTAGCTGGTTTACAGCTGACCCAAGCTTCCCAGAGACAGGAAGAGGCTGCCTAGGGAGTGGAGAGATGGAGAGTGCACCTCATTCTCTCATTCTGGGGACGCTGCCTCCCCCATAGAAGTCAAGGAGGAGCTGATTCTTCTGCTCTGTTCTCTGTCACCACTGTTAGAGAATGGAAGTTGTTCTCAAGACTATGTCACTGCTACCTTTGGTATTAGATCTCATCACACTGACACGTGGAGTTCGGTGACGGTGCCAGGCTCTTCCTAGAAACTCAGGGTGCCACGTGGTGGGAAGGAAGTAGAAGGGTCAGTGAAACTCTTAGACACACCTGTCTACCCTGCATTTCTCCCCAGGCCCTGAACCATATCCAACCCCTCTGGTCAGTGTTCTCCCAGATCCTAGATCCCAGGTGAATGACAGGCCTCCAGCCCTGGATTCTGGACCATAAAACTGAGCAGTGGAGGTATCTGCCAGCAAGGGTACCTAGGAGGCTTACTCTTGGTGCCAGGAGACAGTCAGGGGAAGTAGCAAGTGGCTGTGGGAGTCACTAATCCCACCTCTCCGTACCCTCTCTGTCAGGTGTCCCCAATTTCCAGCTCTTCCCACCCGCTTGCTGCTGTGCCTGGCCTGGTCCTACCTCCCCACTGACACTTACGTCAGAACTCAGCTATAAATACGCTCTCAGCATCTTAGTCACTTCTCCCAAGAAGAGCTCCCAGGTTATAAATACCCCAGCCATCTGCCTCACTGCCACCCCACCATCAACCTGATTGGGGGCTGGGGGTGGGGGTGGTGACGAGCTTGGAGGTCGGTAAGGAAGTGGAGAGGTAGAAGTACTTATCTCATCCCAATGAGAACACCCTGAAGGAATCTACAGACAGAGCTCAGAAACTCAGGAAGAAAATGCTTCAAAGAAGACATATCAGCTCTTTCTCTGTTTTCAAAAGGCAGAGCCAAAAAAAAAGGAATAGTATGGGTCCCGTGTTTATTTTAAAATATGCTGCTCTGTTCACCATGGATTTTTGCATTAATTTTGATGCTTAAAAATATTGCATTGGAACAAAATATTGCATTGAAATATTTCTTACTTTGATGAAATTCTTTCCTTCTCTTTAAAAATTTTGCTCCCCAGATGTCCCCCACTCTTCATCCTGGGGACTGAAGCTATAGTTGGAGGGAAGGAGATTTGGTCTCAAAGAGGAGTGGAGTGAAGAATACAGGCAGAAAAGAGAGAGACACCAGAGCCTCTCCCTAGATGAAAGTGCTCTCAAATTAAATGTCAGATAACATTCTTGTTGTTGTTTTGTTTGTTTGTTTGGTTGGTTGGTTGGTTTTCTTTGAGATGGGTTCTCGTTAATAGATCTTGAACTCATTATATAGTCAAGGTGGTCTGAAACTCATGGCAATCTACCTGCCTCAGTCTCCTGAGTTCTGGGTTTACAGATGCATGCCACTATGCACTGCAAAGGTGGGGTAATTTCTATGGACGTCTTAGGAAGTCCCATAGCTGGGGCTTCTGTACCATCAGAAATTTCCTTTCAGTGACTGTGGAAGTAGCTCAGTGGTACAGCACCTACCTGGCAAGCATGAGACCCTGAGTTTGATTTCCAGTACCCCCCTCCAAAAAAAAAAAAAACCGTCCCTTTCAGAATTTCTCCTTTGGCCTCTCCATTCCAGGACCTCTTCACCCCCTCTGGAGAGGGTTACAAGCTGAACAAATACAGACATCACATTTCCCAAAGAACACATGGGCTTTGCGCAAACCCGGCCTTGGGCTGCAGACAGTATTGACTTCGTGGTTCAGCCAAAGGGAAAAGGTGGAGTAAAGGGGCAAGGGTTAAAGAGCATTCATTCTCAGAGCAGATGCCACCTTTTCCTTGTCCCAGACCTTCCTCATTTCCCTGTTCTACTTAACTGTCTCTTGCCATTTCCAGTTGGCAGGCTGGACTCCTGGAGGGAACCCTGGGAGGCTGGGCAGGGGGCGAGCCAGAGGTCCTGGCAGGCAGCTGTGAGCATGCTTCAGCCTCCTGCTACACGTGTTTCCTCAGTGTCGGCTTACCTGATGATTGATCATTGATCCGTCTCATCTGTTGGAGCAAGTATAGAGGGAAGAGGTGAACAGGAAAAACTAGTTCTTTATTAGCCATGAGACCATCAAATGATGACTCTAGGAGGATGGAGGTGACCTGAGGAAGAAGAGGAGGCAGCCTGTGGGAGGAAGAGTTATGGAATCCCCAGGTGGATACACTATCTCAGCCCTTAGGCCCCAGGTGGATACAGTATCTCAGCCCTGAGGGCTCTGTGTGAGAAGAAAGCAGAGAGGGCAGTAGCTCTGTGTCGTCCAGGGTGTCAGTTTGGGTCCTGGCAGAAAACAAGGGAGTCCTCAGCTATCTGTCTGCTTCATCAAGACAACTTAGTGTAGAAATTATTTACAAAGGATATAGGTGGAGCTAAGGGAACCAATAAAGGATGTTGCAGCACTACGGACTAAGAAAGGGGAAAGCCATCAAGACCCTCTAGTGTTGACAGCATCTCTGAACCTAAGCAGAGCTAGAGCTATGGAAGTGGGGAGGCAGACAGGATATGGGGACACAGCACAGCCATAGTTGCACAGAAGCATGACACATGGCAAAGGGGGAGCAGGAATAAGATACATTCTATCTTCTTATCCCTTTGTCTTCTGCTTGGGTCTCCCTTTATTCAGGTCCAGCAGGAAGCCAGGGTGAAGAAGTTCAAGGGAGATGGTTCAGGTGAGTCAGCCCCCAAAGGCACTCAGCCAGGTAGAGAAGGGTGATGAATGGATGAGGATGTGCAGAAAGCATCAACAGTTCACGTGGGCAAGCGAGAAGGGAAGGACCTTAAGACACAGAGGCAGATGACAGTTGCTTTGGAGAACAGTTTTAATGTTTGGTGAATCCGAGGAAAGAGATTCTCTGGTGGGTCAGAAAGATCAGAGGAAGGGATGAAATCAACTTATCCTGCAGTGGAGGCCATCAAGTGGCAAGGGGAGGGAGACATAGTAGATATTGGGGATGATTAAGGGTGAGTTAAGCATGCCATTGCTTGGGAACCAGATGGTGTTGTCCATAGTTAAGGTGGATCAGTCCCTGAAGTGAGTTTGAGTACGAAGGGTATGGTGGATAGATTATGCCTTAGGACAGAGATTGGTGATCATGAAGACAGCATCATGACTCTTATTAATGTAGAGTTTTGGAGTTTAACCTCATTTTGGAGGTTGCTTGGGAAGAGACAGTCCACAGTATGGACAAAGGCAGGAATGGAGTCATTCCCTCCTCTTGAGAAAAGGTACCTCTGAGATGGCATATTTGCCCATCCTACCTTGGGGTACAATTGTCACACACAGACTAACTGCACCCACAGGCTTCTACCACCATGTCAGGTATGTCAGTCTTGACAATGTTGCTGTTCCTGTCATAGTAGAGCAGAGACAGGGCTTGTTGCACTGTGGGCACACAGCACGAGTTCCCTCCTGCAGTTCCAGCAGCTGTGTTGGCTTTGAGAAGATTGAGTACTGCAGTGTGAAAGGACGCAGCAATGCCAGGCATGCCTGCCACATGCAGCGGACACTGCCCTGTGCAGAAGTTCATTGCGTAACCTTCAGGCTGGATGATCCAGTCTTGCCAGCCAATCTCACGGAAGTCTACAAAGAATTCTTGTCGACAGCACATCCTGGATCCTGCCTGGCAGTCGATGCCTCGTCGGCGAACCCGGTGCTTGCCCCCAACTCTTACTCGAGCTGTCACAAAAGGTCTATAGGCAGCGTCATTCATGATAACTGAGCTCTGGGCTACGTGGCTTTCAGGTACCAGCTCCAGAGTAAGATGCCCGTGGCTACAGGCAGCCTGAGCTTCAGGCCCTAGGATGAGCTGGTGCCAGCCACTAGCATCTACCTGCAGCGCGTGCTGACTAGCTACAGTAAGGTTGGTGTTATGTGGGCTTGGTGCAAAGACTCTGACATTTATATCCCAGGTACTGTTGGGAGGGAGCTGCACAAAGAACATGAAGCTGGCCTGCTGGATCTCCATGCCACCAGCAGTTTCATCCGAGGAAAAGTGGAAATCAAGACGAGTCTGGTTGATGTTGGAGAAGCCTGCGGACATAAGAAACCTCAGTCATTGTGGCTTTCTAAGTGTCAATTCTACCACTCTGTGTGTGTGTGTGTGTGTTACTGGGCATTGAATGCAGGGGCTTATACTAAGCTATATCCCTCACTGTCCTACCTCCTCCTTGTTCTAGGGATTGAGCTCAGGGCCTTCACATTGAGTTATAGCTCCACATCCCCCCTCTTTTTTTTGTTTTGAGACAGGCCCTCATTGAGTTTATAAATTGCCCAGACTTGGCTTGCAATTTTCCTGCCTTATGTGCCTGAGTAGCTGGGATTATGTGTGTGCAACCATGCTCTGCTCCTCTTTACTCTCAGCTTACTTGAACTCTCTGACACCCTTAGAATTGCTAGGGTTTCAATATGTTTCCTAAAGTTCAAGTGTTGGAAGTTTCATCCCCGATGAGATAGTGTTGGGAAGTACAGCCTAATGGGTAATGATTTAGTCATGGAGAACAAATCCCTCAGGAACAAATTAATGCCTTTATCATGGGAATAGGTTTCTTGTAAAAGTTGAGTCCAGACTGGTGCATGAATCTCAGGTATATTTCCTCTAATAAGTCAGTTTTTTCTGTATTAAAAATTCCATTGCAAGGGAAAATATCTGCCAGGATTGTAAGAATTTAATTAGCAGCTTTATATCTACCACTTGATTGCACTCTGAAAGTCAGGCAAATCCAAAGATGCCTTATACAGAGGAGGTAACCATGACTTGGGGCAAATATTTATCATTCTGGTCTCTGAGGTTTTCCACAATCTTCAAGCAAACACCTACCCTTGTTCTCCTGTGTGAGCCCACTTCTTGCCACCCTCCCAGCCAGGGCAGCTGACGTCTTTCTGGTTCTTCCCATTATTTTTCCTAGCTTTAGCGGATTATAGCTGACTTCAGAGGTAAAACAGCTTTTCCCTATGATACTTAGCCTTTGTCCTTCAGGAACTTTCTAATGTTGAATGACTCGGTCCCTAAAGAAGGGCAATATTCATTACTTTTTCACTGTTTTCCAAATGATCTTGAAGTCAGCATGGCCTGGGATCCAGACATGGTGGAATTTAGGGTACAGACCAAGAAAGCAACACACCCTCCTTCCTGGTAAGCAGCGGCACAGCGAGCAGCAGGTGCTCCAGGGAGAGAACAAGTCAGTGTCTCCTGTGAGCTTACTGGCGCACGGGCTGAGAACCAAACGTCCCATCACCCACCGCACCCGTGTTAGTAACTGGATGGTGTTAAGGCAGCTGGAGTTGATAGCAACTAAGGCACATAAAACAACTAAATGCTTGTATTGTTGGGTTGATTATGCTGACCTGGGACCAAGCATCTCTTGGGAGGATGACAGTATGCAATGCAGCAAATCTAGGGGATTTCCTTCTGTCTTCTCTTTGAAGGCAAATATTGTTTTCAGTGTTTTGCTTTGTTCTGATTAATTGTTTTGCTTTATTCAATAATTTTTGATAGGTTTTATAATGCTCTATTTTTGGTTTTATTTTGCCATACCTGATTGAATGGACAACTATTGTGAAGATAACAAGATATACTATGGTGCCTATTACTGTTATCCTGGGATCCTGCTCTGAAGTTCTGTACCAATTTCATTGCATTGTCTCGATTGGCTTTGTTCTGTCTTGTTTTGTTGTATTTTACTATCTTAAAAAAATAATCTCTCATTCATAATTGAATCTATTTAGTAAACTACTACATGGGGAAAAAAAGTTGAGTTCAGGACCCCATACTTGGCCTTCTTTTGGCTTTCTACCAAAGTACGGCATAATACAGCAAAAAGGCCCTTTCTCAGATCCCAGAATCATGAGATTATGAATTTCTGGGCCAGGGATATAGTTCAGTGGCAAAGTTCTTGCCTGGCAGTTGCAAGATCCTGAGTTCCATTCCCAGTTTCCCCCCAAAAGTAAAATAAAATAAAATAAAATAAAATATATTTTCTGTACATTGTAAGTCAGCCAGTTTGTGGTATTCCATCATCACAGCACAAAATGGACTAAGAAATTTGATAACGAGAGTGGAATGTTGCCTAAAGATATGGAAGTCACTTTGGGAATTAGATTATGAGACAATTGAAGAACTTGGAGGAATAAACTAGGAAAAGCCTAGATTGCCATGAACAGAGAGAGTATTAAGGGTGAGGACTCAGAAGAAAAGAGCTGTAGGAAAAAGCTGGCACTTCTTAGAAATCAAGTGTCCATGATTAGAATGTTGGTAGAAATGTGGATGGGAAAAGCAATTCTGCAGATGGAAGGAGAAGACTTGGGCTCTTAGGATAGATTGTGCTCTACATGTGATAAAGACATGAATTAGTGGTCAGGAATGGAATGCTAAGGTTTGAACATGTCTTGCCAAAGTTCACCCTCTGGAAAACTTTTTTATCTCCTATATCAAGGATCAAACCCAAGGCCTTTGCACTGAGCTGTACCCTCAGTTCTTTCTGGTTTGTTATTTTGAGACAAGATCTTACTAAATTGCCCAGGCTGGGATTAAATTTACAATTCTGCCTCAGCCTCCCAGGGTGCTGGGATTCCAGGTGTGTGCTATCACACCTGGCACAAAGTGATCTTTTTATTACACAAATCCAATCAGCTTTATATCTTCAGTTTAAAATACTTCAAAGGCTTCCCATTGCTGTTTGGTTAAAATAAAACTCCTTAACATAGAAAATCTGTATAATTAGGCAGCCTGCCACTTCATTACCACACTCTAAGTATACTGGCCTTTTCTCTATTCCTTGAACTCACCAAACATGGACTCATTTCATACGCTTTGCACTTGATATTCCCTGTGCCTAGAATGTATTTCCAAGAATCTTTTTCCTGATGCACTGATTGAATCCAGGACCTCACATATGCAAGGCAAGCACTTTACTACTGAGCTAAATCTAGCCTTTTTAAAAATCTTAATTTGAAACAGGTCTCATTTATTGGTCAGACTGGTCTCAAACTTATGCTCCCCTGCCTCAGCCTCTTGAGTAGCTTGGCTCACAGGTGTGCACCACTGCGCCTGGGCTCTTTCCAAGACTTGAATGACTGTCCCTTTTTGGTACTCAGAATCCAATCACCTTCTCAGGGGTACTTCCTTGACTATCCTTTTTCTTTTTCTTTTTTTGGGGAAAGGTTCTCACTATTGAGTTAGAGCTGGACTTGAACTCACTTTGTAGACCAGGCAAGCCTGAAGTTTACAATAATTCTCCTGCTTCAGCCTCTTGAGGGCTGGGATTACAGGCATGCACTACCATTCCCTGCATTGACCACCGTTTTTAAAAGTAGTTTTTAATTCAATTCTGTCTCTCTGATACAGTATCCTTCTTAACTGTCTTTAGACTAACTATCATTCTCTGCAATCATGTGTTAACTGTGCACCTCTACCACTTCCTCTCCTTCCATCTAAAATTGAAACTCGATGAAAATGGAGATTGTGTTTGTATGGTCATCACTGTGTTCCCTGGTACTTGGTACCCTATAGGCACTCAACAAACACTTTTTTTGGTTTTTGTGAGATGAGGTCTCACTATGTAGTTCAGACTGGCCTTGAGCTCACTTTGTAGCTCAGGCTGGTCTTGAATTTGCAATGATCCTCCTGCCTCAACCTCTCAAGTACTGGGATTACAGGTAAGCATCCACTATCATGCCCAGTTTAAACATTTGTTGAATGGGCTTTCATTTCTTTCATTCTTTTACACTGGCATCAGAATCATTGTCCAAAAACTTGGGTGGATCATAAATTCATGGTTTAAAAAATCCCACATGGTTTTTTGGAAGCAGATGCCCATGATGAGCCAGGTATGGTGGTGCACGTTTGTAACCCCAGCTTCCCAGGATACTAAGGTAGGAGGATCATGAGTTCAAGGCCTGCTTGGGCAACATAGCAAGATCTTATCTTAAATAAATAACCATCATTATTTGGCTTTAGTTAATATATATATATTATTTTTTAGTTAATATATATTTTATGTAACATGTATTTTAGTATATGTGTACCTATGTAGAACGTATGTAATGTGATATATATATATATATATATATATATGCATTAGTGCTAAGAATTAAAATGAAGTAGCCCCCCCCCCCAAAAAAAAGACTGGGTATGGTGGCATACCCCTGTAATCCCCACACCTGGAGGTTGAGGCAGGAGGATTGCTGTGAGTTCAAGGGCCAGTCTGGGCTACATAGTGAGTTTGAAGCTAGCCAGAACTAAATAGTGAGACTCTATATCTCCAAAAAATGTTTTATGATGAGAATACAGCTGGTTCTCTCACATGGAAATAAAAGAGCAGGAAATAAAGTTCAACAAGGCTTCATGAAAATCAGAAATTTAGGACTAAGGCTACTCTTTTTTTGTTGTTGTTTTGTTTTTTGGTGCTTGTCATTTGTACCGCTGAGCTATATCCCCAGCCCCAGGGCTACTCTTTTTTTTTTTTTTTTCGAATTCATTTTATTTCAAGGAAAAGAAGAAGGAGCAGGAGGTGGAAGAGAAGGAAGAAAAGAAGAAGAAGAAGAAGAAGAAGAAGAAGAAGAAGAAGAAGAAGAAGAAGAAGAAGAAGAGGAGGAGGAGGAGGAGGAGGAGGAGGAGGAGGAGGAGGAGGAGGAGGAGGAAGAAGAAAAACAAAATTTCAAAACATGTCAATCAAAGGGCCACCCCAGGGCTACTCTTGATGACCCTCAGGGCCAACAAAATCTGTCTCCCCTTTGGCTTTCTGTACAAGCCTGTTTCAGTCTTCTTTTACTGTGGATCTACTTTTTCTCCTTTGTCAGCTTCCTTAGTTTCCCAAAACATAGTCCTTGCTCCTGAGTTTATTAGACCTTTATTAGACTTTATTAGTTTATGAGACCTTTCACAAAGCTTCTCATAGCTAAAATAACCTATTTTTTTAGTGTCTCAATTCCAAATTCTAGTATGATTAGCCTGACTAATCTTTTTTTTTTTTTTTTTTTTTTTTTGGTCTTTTTGAGACAGGGTTTCACTATGCAATGCAAGCTGACCCTGA